ACACAAAGCTATGAATGTCTTCATCTCTTCCGCAATGGTATCCTCTCAATCAGCGTTGTTCTGAGTGCCATAGATATGTGTCTACTCTACAGTCAACACTCAGATATCGACCATGAGCAGTTTGCAGAAAAGATCTGGTTGCAGGCACCCGATAAGAATACTGTGCTGGACAGCTGCCGCTGGGTCATCAAATGGCATAATGGTGGGTGGCTGCACATTGGTGACCCAATCACCAACTACAATGTCAACATTCAAAAGGGCTCTTCGCATATCGTCAATTTCGTCATCGCCATCCCCAGAATCCTCAGAACCTTGAGGAATGTGCACGTTTTTGTCCATGCTCGCATCTGATTCGTTACCAGTGTCCTCGTCAGCGTTTAGAACCAAGCCTTGGAGCATGATTTCCAATTCTTCATCTTCAGAAGCTTCCTAGTTTTCTTCTCCTAAAGCTTCCACGTCTTTTCTCTTGACATAACGACGCTGAAAGGTAAGCTTTCTAATATTTGCAAACAACATAGCAAGTTGTAGTTGTAATGAAGTGCTAAACTCACGTCGATAGCAAGATGAAGCAGCTTTACAATATCGTCCACAAAAGATAACATCAATAACTAGCAGCTTTACAAAATTCTTCTTGCATATGGATCCAATTTCTCGCGGTAACCCAGAAAATAGACATAATTATGTGCGGTACAACTACATTACCCAGAATAGGCAATGGCTAGTATAGGTCGTAGCTAATTTGAAATCATCATATTTTGTGAACTTGACACAGCATCCAGTCCAGCGCATTGTCAAAGTGTCAGGCTTCGATTGCCAAAGAAGAGTAGTCTCTACACTCAGTCTATAAATAAAACTTGGACTGCTGAAACATTGATAAAATGGGTGCCCTACTAAACTTACTAGTCCTCCTGAATACGATTGACCCTTCTTGCATAGAAATCTTCTGTAGTCCATAAGTTTCCATCTTCCTCGTGTACATCTTTATATGATTTACTAGAGATGAACGAATACCTGCTATAAAAACTTGATTATGGTAAGAATTATCGATGACCTGGCATCGCATGCATTATGCAACAGCTTCCTTTGACATACAGCTCATTGTTTTCCAATTTCCCAGTCATTATCATAACTCTCGAGCGCATGTGGCGCAGTGGTTAGAGGTGCCCTGCGTCGCACACGAGGTCGATGGTTCGATCTGGCGCTCATGGCTTACCAAGCCATCCATCCCTCCGGGGTCGGTAAACTGGTACCAGACAGGTCTCAAGCTTGTCTGGGAGGATAAGCAGCACTGACTCGGTTCAGCGGGAGGCCACCGCGAGTCATTGTAAAGGCCAGATGTGCATTCAAACACCTCAAACGAAGTTAAAAATTGAAGTCGAATGCATGGCGCATCCCTCAGGGATTGATCAACGCCGGGAGCTTTATCCTTTATTCTTTTTATCATAACTCTCAAGTGTTGTTCATAACTGAATATATCAAAACTAATCGATTTATATCATTATATTCTTCGTACAACTTATTACGATCGACAGAATGCCAACATCCCTGTGATTTTATAGTAAATAAAAGCTTTTCTTCTCAAACATATACGCTGTATTTGCACTAAAAACATACGAGTGTGTAGAGAATACTTAAACTACCGAAATGTCACTAGAACTCCAGACTTTTACTCAAAACGATGAAAACCCTAAACAAATAGCAAAAATCGGCGATTTCACTGCGTGTGGCTATTACAACTGGTGGTCGCGAAGGGATTAAGAATGACGCTGATTCCTCTGATGGCTTTTAATGCTGCGACTGCACCACTAAGCGCTCAGCGATGGTATAATCAACCGAATTCAAAAGAATATTTTTTCTTCTTATCAAACTTGTGAGGTTAGCGAAGTGCTGGTCTGCATTTTCACCAAGAATGCATTTAATTTGTACTACTATCAAGCCAACACTTCCTATTCAAAGATTTCCCAATGAACTGCTTTCGTCCTCTAAAACATCATTAGCCGAGTGATTTTTTAGGTAACACATCTCCTGGCATCGCCTATTTTGTGAAATTGTGGCAGCTCAGATGATATGCACTGTTTTAAACAAAGTATTACTAAAAAAACAACAAATTTTGGGTGGAAGCTCCAAATGTCCAAGTTGTCCCTTCAGTTGTTGCTTCTAATACGGGATGCTGATCGCGGAACTAGCGTTCAATAAGATTTCGAAACCAATGACATAGAAAGAAACTCAAGAACAACTAAAACAGCGCGAATATTAATTTTGCAATTTCTATTTATTGAATAATTTTCAATAAGCATCCATTCGCTTATGTAATGTACAAGGTTCAATGTGAGATACACAGACAAAGTGTAATCAGTGTCAGCAACATACACTTATCATTAACAAGATTATCGTGAAAATTTATATAAGTCGGTGAAATGACAGATGGAATGTGAGAGATAAACACAAAGATGCTGAGAAGCGAACAAAAATCAGAATCTGATGAGCCAGGTACACCTTGAACAATAATGAGGTGCAAATGTCTTGAGACAAGATTAATGTTTTTCTTCCTTTCAGCTCGGCAGCCGCCCTTACTCTTCAAATTATTTTACAGGGAACGTGATCGTAGTCATAAAAAACTATCACACAGATTGAGTTCTGGAGATGATGCAAAGGAGATTTATATTTTGATTCTGTTGTTCATTGAGTTATGCCGAATGTGCACCTACTTGTTGGTCTTAATAGTATATGAGGTGATTTGGTTGCAGTGAAAAGAGCAAGCTTTTCAGAAAATCGGAAATATAATCAAATAGCGACCATGAAGAATTACTTGGCAAATTTCTTTATTACCGAAAAAACTCGTTAATAAAACACCAAATGATAGATAGTATATAGTAGATGGACGAAGAACTCGTTACAAAACAGTCAGTACACTTTTTACGGGGGAATATTTATTTTTCCTGCATGGGCGAGTGTCTCAGTTCTAAAGGAATGACAAGCTCTCGAACTGCGCTTTCGACTGCATGAAGGGAAATTGATCTGCTTTTGTTATACGCCGCGGAGAAGCATGGCAGTTTGCGACTAAAAAACTAAACAATATCCACTCCCTCTCCAATGTATATATCCACGGTTATTGTCAACGTAGCAGGTCGAGCCTCATTTAAGTATGATCTGTTGCAAATAAATGTGATGCAGCCTCATCTAAGTAAAATCTGCTGTGAATATATGTGACCCAAACTTCTTTTCCGCATACTTTCTTGTGCCACTAACCTCTCCATGTAGATGACTTACAAGGAATTTCGAAAATTTTACTTCCCTTTGCGAGAATTCGTGCAGAAAACGATCTGTTGCACGTTATTACAGTTTACTAGGTGTACAGATATAACTCCAGTTCTTTTTATTTTTGCTGTAATAACAGCAAAATAAGGATGCGCTTAATACATTTTTGTTTTGAGAACGTTGTAAGCCCTATTTAATACCACGTTTTTAATATGCGAAATATTTTATGCGATGGTTTTTATAAGACTTTGGAAATGACGATTTTAGTGCCCAAAAAATCCATTTTCAGAGATCTCACTTTGCAGATTTACTAACTAAAAGTAACTCAAACTGCTTTGATTTGGCATGTTTCATTTGTTCATTTCCTCGCAGTCATTTTGGTAAACTACTTGCCTATAATTTCGTTGAGATGGAGTGTCGTGGAAACAGTCGCTTGTTACTGATGCACGAATAACCTGTGAAAATGCGAGTCAAGCGGCCGACAATGTTAATGGAGCTTGGAGCAAGCTCCATCTTATAGCAAGTACAGGAACATTGGATACCAAAATTTTGGTAAGAAAATGCGCAATTGAACGGTACCAAGGTCATGCAAGTTGCAGAGATCGTATTAGAAAACCAGAACGGTATGAATTTTGCAGTTTTTCTGCATGATAACGCCTACTTTATGTTGCCAGAATTGATAGGGAACGCCTTTGAGGAGTTGAGTTAGAAGATTTCAGAAGGTTTCCGCTCCCGATATTGCACCACCAGATTACCACGCATAATTACTAAATCTAAGCTATAATCAATCGGAATTCATTTATTTGACCGCCTCTTGCGGTGCTATGATCTTATAATATACCCAACAATGTAGAGTGCTCTGCAAAAGCATTTGCGTCAGCCGCGATTCAAACCTAGATCTCACTCTTTCCGGGAGCGTGTGCTAAACCGTTGCATTACCGACGCTCGTTTTGCACAACATCCTTTCTACTCTACACTGCGTTTTCTGTCAACAGCCACAGTCGACAATCTGGCGGAGCAGCCCGCTCCCGGAGAGAGTGAGATCTAAGTTCGAATATCGGCTGGCGCAAATTTTTTTGCACAGCTTTTACATTGCTGGGTATACTCTAAAGTATAAATGAATAAATTCTAAGAAATTGCATTTTCGATTTAAAAGTCGCATACACCGTTTCGTTATTTGTTCTCTGAAAAGGTAAGTGGAAATTTCCCACGACCTAATGGCCCTGAATAAGTCTAGAAATTTGGGCAACCAGTAAAAAAGTAAACATTGAAGCTCTGCACTTACTATAAGAAGTATCTCTTCAACTACGCCTTAGAACAACTTTCTTCTCGGAAGATCCTTGAAAAAAACTTGTAAAACTTTTATCTTCAAAGTCTTAGAAGAGCTATCAGTTTTCTTTATGAGATGAATAGTTATAGCGCAAATAACATTTAATTAGTGAACTGATTAGCAGCTGGTTCAAAAAACAGCTTTTTCTTCATAGAAAGAACTTACACATTATTCATGCAATAGGTGAAAGTTATTCACGAACAAACGAATGAAATAACAAAATAATAAACGAAAAAAGTTCACCTCATCACTTTGTGGCTTATTTTAGTCGGTCCATCTTTCTGAAATATTATTTTACTGATATGTCAAAAAATTAAATTACTCCAATTCATTCGGTTTCCTGGTCAATCCAATAAAGAGCATTCGAACAGTCTAACGGTATTCAATATGTGGAGTGCTGTGCAAAAACGTTTGCGTCAGCCGGGATTCGAACCCAGATCTCACTCTTTCCGAGAGCGTATGCTAACCGTTGCATTGTTGGCAGACAACGCATTATAGCGTAAGTAAGAGTGCTGTGCAAAGCGAGCGTTGGTAGTGCAACGGTTAGCATACACTCCCGGAAAGAGTGAGATCTGGGTTCGAATTCCGGCTGACGCAAACGTTTTTGCACAGCACTCCACATATTGGGTATACTATAAACATCATACCACAGCAAGTGGCAGTCAAAATAGAAAGAATTTAGACTAACGGTATTCATTCATTACTCATTGTCCCAATCAACGACACATCGCATTGAACAGCTTGTGTGGAAGATCGTGCAATTTCCTTTTATGACAAGCGGTTTCAAATTTACTGGCTGCTGTCAAGATAGTATAAACTCAAACAGATTCAATAATATTGTTAAGTTCAAGAGGTTTTGCAATCTCCATAGTATAGCTTCATGGAACGTTACAGATATTGTTAAATGACTGATGTTTTGTCTTTTGTTTCTCGAGAGATGCGGGCAATATTATTATAATCGGAGGCTAGAAATACATTCAAAACCTTTGTGACTTGCGTCAATTGCTCTCGACTGGGTGGAGATTTTGCAGGACCGCACTGTTCCTTCTTTCTTAACGTAGCCTCCTAAACAAAATAAAACCACCACAGTAGGAATAATGCATTACTATTTCTGATGTAAAAAATAGCTAGAAGTTCGTTCTTAATAGCTAGACGCAAATTACAAGAAGTGATCAATTCACATCCGTAGATATGTACACGTAAAAACGAGAAACAATCGACGATGTATTTTAGTCGCACCCTGATTTTTTGCGTTGAATGGGAACGGATGTGATGACTTGTTAACTCCAGCCTCTAACATGCTGAAAATTACCCACATGTGGCATTCTAGTCTGTATAAAAGGGGCGTTTTCTCAACTTCGGAAGTCATTTCTTCCCGTCTCATCGACTCGACCAGCCCGTTCAACCCTTCCTCACTTCCTTATCATATCCCACTTATCTCTTCCAAAACATCTGCGACCATAGCCACAGATTTTGTGACTGGTTTGTTTTGGTATAACAGCCGTTCATGTTTTTTCTTCTCCATAATTATATGTAGTTATGTACATATTTTTTCCAGATCCCTCGAGGATGCGTGTTCGCAATGGGCGCAGTGGGAGGCCAAGCTACAAAGAACCCTATAACTAAAGGGCCTCCAAGAGGTAAGATTACCTAGCGATTAGACAATTTTTGAATCTCTTATATTGGTGCTAACGAGTGGAATCGTCGTGGACATTTTCTCCATAATTCTCTTGAAGTGATGGAACAAAGAGGAAATTTTTTCCACTGCTCAGTGATGTAAACAACAAGACATATTCGAGAAACTACCATCGACTCTTCTATATACTCATCTTATCCCTTTGAGGACCACATTTGATAGGCAGGCGATGTAGCTCCGCCCCTTGCCCATAGCTCGCAGTGGCGGCATATGCGTGTCTGTGCAGGGATGTCATACTATCTGCTCCTGCTTTCCCACGGAACGAGACGCCGCCGTAACACTAACTGAGTGAGACTGTGAGAAAATGGAGAGTGAGAAAAAGTTAGAAAAGAGACGACCTGGGTATGAAGAACCAGTTCCTGAGAGGCCAGAGGCTGCAAAACATGGAAAATGGTAAGGTTTTGCGAAATAAGTACAAAACAAGGCTTGTCTGTCAAAAACGATTTTGCAAATAGCAAAACGATGCCACCTCAACAACACCCTCGAGAATTTTCGATCTTTACTTTGAACATCATTTATGCTGCAATCTTTGTCATTTGACGTGCTCTACTTACTGCTTTTAGTCCACTATGCTTTCGAGATGAATTCCTGTACCTTGTTCATTTCTCACTCTGCGGATAACTTCGAGAGAGAGCACTTATGCGTTTCTTTGAAGGCCCATCACTGCATAAGTGATTCCATGGTCTGTTCTACCAAACCCGTAGGGATGGGTGGCTTGGTGAGCCATGAACGCGAGATCGAACCATTGACCTTGTGTTTGTCCGTAGAACACCTAATCTTTGCTCCACTGCTCTCTCATTGAAAAATGGATAAATGGGCGTTGTATTCACTCAAAATGCATTTATCATTATCACGATCATTATCGCTACCATAATAATTATCGTTGTTCACTAACTGAAATGCCTCGTAGAAGAGGCTGGTCTAGAACTGGAAGTAGAAGAAGCCGACCTAGAAGTGGAAGCAGAAGAAGTCGGTCTGGAAGTGGAAGTAGAAGGAGAAGCAGAAGCTGAGCTCATCGCAGTTGCTCCCGATCATTAAAGAGACGTTCGCGTCGATCCGCAGCCGATGATCACGTGGATAAAGTTGCCGTTCGCTGTTCGTCACGACTCAGTAAAAGTTTGAATTTAGAGATTAGCACGACGTACTATATTTGTAGAATGGCCTTTACATTCCTTTGAAGACCATGTGAGACGTTTCGTTTTACACGGCTCGGCGTCGCATCTCACTCACCTACTGTAATGGTGCCGTCGCCTCCCGTAAGCAAAGGGGCTTATCCCTTGGGAAGGCAAACGCAGACAGCATGATGGATGCGAGGAGACAAGCTCAGGTTCTGAGAGAGCATTATCATCATAAAACAATGGAATTTTATTGTGAAGCTTCTTCGAAATAATCTTAGTAGAAATCTGGTCTTCGATATTCCGTCTATATTTCTTATGTTTCAATGAGAAAACTACATCGATAATTGATAACGATAATGATAATGATATTATAGAGATAGCGAAAATGATAATGTTTGTGGTATAGTAGTGAAAACGACAATGAGAATGGTGGTGATATTGATAATGATGATGATGATGATGATGTGGTAATAAAAATGATAACGATAATGATAATGGTTGTGATAATGGTAATGATAGTGCCGATCATAGCTATGATTATTATGATAACAATAATGATACTGATTAACTGCTTCCCAGGATCTGGTTGTATCACATCAAGGGTGTACCTCTCAAATTTCTCACGGTCCTGATCAGCTACTGAAACAACGATGTCTCGTGTCGTGAAAATGAAGGCGCTCGTGGTAACGAAGTACAGGAAGCACGACATTCTTGCACAGAGGCGCAGATGCCAACGTTTAGAAGTACCGCACAAGCGACGGCGCAATACCTCCTGCCTATCGACGCTGCGTTCTCAATGGGATATTACATTGCCACATTGAAAATAAGATTTCATTCCAGGAGTAAGTATTTTTCGCTGAGAGAACCTTTTCCTTAAAAAGTTTACTAATCCTTCAATAGCACAAATTTCCACAAATTCAATAATGTTTTTGATTCCTTAAAAAGGCTTTAGATTGTGCTGCAGCACTAAAATTAAGCATGTGTTTCACATACAACGTTCATACCTTGCACAGATACATGGATGGATTTTGCAACAGTGGCATTATGCCATTGCAAGTTCATTAGCCATTCGATAGCTTAAGTCTCTAGAATTATATCAGTGTGCTTCACATTCAAAATGACTGCCTTATTAGACAGTGAAAGAAAAAATAAAACTTTGTCTCTCACATTTCAAATAATCATTCGATAGTCCAAATCTCGTAGACTTTAGAAAAAAAGTATGCTTTTGAAAAAATATCTTCATCACGTTGTAGCAGTCAAAAGAAGACTGTGTCTCGCAAGTAAACTTTATATTGCAAACAAAGCGTTGTGTTGCAAAGTCCCATCAGCTTACCGCCGCACAAAGTGCTCGGAGTGCAAAACCCTATTTTTATATGGCTGCTGTAGTGCATTTAGATGTAATTTCCAGAGACCAAGTACAACGATGAATTCGTCAAAATTTGCGCAATCGAATAATTTAAAAAGTCTTTGAAAAAAGATTTCTCCAGCGGAAAATACTTGAGCGTAAATTGAAATTTTATATTTATACAGCTCAATATGGAAGCAACTTATGGAATCAAATAGCGAATGTCGATTAAAACGTCGAAATTATGTGAAAAATACGTTTTTTGATCATGGCTGCGGATAAGGGAAAAGTGTCACTAGATATTTTGCACTATTGGATCGAACCAATCACCGTGCACTGCGCTGCAAGATCTCTTACGACTGTACCTACTTGCGTCTTCAATTTCTAAGGATATAGACAAGCCAGTCGAGTACTTAACAGATAACTATTTCAGGAAATGATGCCAGTACAAAATGGTAGCTGCTTCAGTAGTCATTCTTGCAGCTACAAAAACATGAAGGTTAGTTGAATTCCCTTTAGAAGCGAAGAAAATGACACTCACTTGATCGACTGCTAGTAAACACTCATATACATTCTTAATCTGTTCTAAGAAAATCTTCATCATTTTCTCTCGGAGACATGATCTAACTTTTCCTGTCCTTTTTCGCCTTTGGTATTTTCGCTTCACATCCTTTTGTAATCGAGAGGCTGAATGAATATTTCAGAAGCGGTCTATTAACAGAAACTAAGTACTTCACTTAGTAATCATTTCAATCCCTTGATATTGATAACCAAAAAATTCCTCTTACTGACAAATTACGAGACAGAAAAATTCCAAAAAACATTTTACCATTCTAGACAGGTATTTTGAGACCGAAAGATTTTATATGGGCATACTGTAACGGTGAGAAAACTATAGAAATACTATAATCTCTTGATCTCCTCATAAACATTTCCAGGAAGACAACAAAACTCATCTGTATTTGTTTTTAGAAAAAGTAATTCATTTCATATAAAATGCGTTTTCTGAATCCTCTACATAATTTTTCGCTATTGATCACAGTTTATGAAAATAAATGAGTACCTCCACGTTATCGGTATTCATTTACAACCTTTTGGAAACAACGCGTTTTCTGCTTTTTCCATAGTTGTGGTAATCAATTGATTACTCAAATCTCGATGATTTCAATGTTGTGCTCTATTTCTAAAAGATCTTATTTCATATGCTCTCTAATAAAAATAGAATTGCGGATAATAGTTTATAAAACAGAAAACAGAAGTTAATGCATGAATGATGATGTAATCTCTGTAGCAGTCATACCATGCGAAAATGATGAGTGCTTTCACAATTTG